GAGAATGATTGCCCACTACTCGCACGTAGGAACCCTGATATGCCTCAAGAGTATTTTTGTCTTCTTAATCCAAAAATCCACGTGTCGCCTTGTGAATATTTTTGGCTCCACAGTATTAGCCATCTATATGTGTTAAAACAATTAAGGATTATGTTAACAATTAATATTTTCATGATGAACCGTCTATTATAATGATAACAATGAAACATTATGATGCGAAGGGGAATACATTGTTTTGATAATACCGGTTGAACAATAAAATAATGAAATGTAAAGAAAAACCGTAAGAAGCCAAGTAGTGTTCATATATTACGATTTGCAGAACACATTATAGAAAGGGACATTTTGAAAAATAGCTAAATTTTGTTCACGATTTTTAACCCTTTTGTTTCGATTTTTATGATTAATTTTCAAACAAATGATAGCAGGAGAGGTAGAAAACGAACATTAGACTTTAGGTGCAAGAGTAAATGCTTTTAACTAAGCTAGCTATAAATTTCCTATCTGACTTTAGGTGAAAGAATAAATTAGTATCAAACTCATAATATATGAGATTAGAACACAAGACCTCACACTCATACTCATAAGTGGAGAGAACTAGGCGCAATATAAAGTGGCAAAATATGCTTCCATTTTATCAAAAGGAGAAGGAAAAGGTGTGAACTACATTTTATACCCTCCACATTTTGGGTAATTTTTAAAATAGGTCATGGAGTTTCAATTTTCTCATAATGCACCACAAGATTTGGAGATTATATCATTTATGCCTTCCATCTATTTGGTCGTATGATACTTAGTGACTTTTTATCCAAAATGGTCTCTGAGAAATGCATAACTCCTCATTTTGATCCCTGAGATTTAAAATTGATAGCATTGGTCCCATAGTTTGTCCACCATTAATCATTTTGGTCATTCTGTGAAAATTCTCCATCAAATAAGGATAAATGACAAAAATACCCTAATTTTTATCAAATCATTTTGGCCTATTGTTTATTAAATTGAGGTGGTTTTGTCATTTTAATCTTTATTTAACATAACTATTCACGAAATGACAAAAATGATCGATGGTGGACAATCTCAGAGACCACTTGTATTGATTTCAAATCTCAGGGATCAAAGTAAGGAGTTATGCCAATTTCAGGAATCATTTTGGCTAAAAAGCCTACTTTAATATATTGTTGATTATGGCAAATCTGAGATTGTTTCTAGGTTGAATAGAAGCTTCACCATTAGGACCAAACATTGTGATTAGTTATTATTTTGGATTAGAAATGAATCATTGAGGGAATTTGAATCTCCATGATGACTAATTTTGGTCCATGTGGGGAAAGTGTAGCTTTCATGTCAACTCAGAAATGAGTCCTACGTTTTTTAAATCATCAATTAAATGAAGGACCAAATAGCCAAACTAGAAGAAAACATAATAAATTTATACAATTTCAAAACTTCAAAGGTGTTATATGAGAAATTGAAATATGGGGGCATTTTTTTAAAATCATCTCAAAACCTAATGGTGTAAAATGTAGTTAGCTTAAAGAAAAAAAGCCGTTAGTACAAAAATATAAATGGTACTTAAGTATTCCTCTTTGTTTGTGGGTAAAGGTGGCAAATCAACCTATTAGGTTGTTAATGAGTACCCGTTAATACTCATTAATTTGATATCACCATAATATGGAGGTGAGATTGGTAGTGATGATGGTGTAAGGTGAAATCAAACTAAATGGATCTTAATAAGTATCTAGGTTGATATGCCACCTTTACTTGTGGATAAAAGGTCACAAGTTTGATTACTAAATAACAAATTTGGTATCTACTTACAAGATTTCATTTTGTGGAGCCTAACTTCCCTTCTTTGATATTATTATTCTTCTTTGCTTATAGGTGAGATGTCTTATATTTGGCTATATAAGGTCATCTCCAAGGGAGACGGCTAAAAGGCTATATGCAAAAACAATAGCTAGTTATGGTAAAAAAACTCATCTTCAATGGAGGGCTGGTCCAAAAATGCATGGAACCTACCAGGCCAAAAGGTTAACAGGCTGGCTACTTCTAGCCACCCTCCAAACCCGATTGTCACACCCTAACCCAGAATGTCTATCTGGACTTCGAATCGAGTTGTGCTAGCCAATACCTATAAGGTGATGAAACCATAAAGTGTGTTGATGTGGAAAAATATGAATAAATTTAAATCTAAAAGGACTAAATGCAAGAGTGCGCATGTGAGCAGGATTGAACCCCATTCACACGTGATGTTAGAGTATAAATAAAGTACAGTAAATGTAGGATAAGAATTATACCATCGAAGGTAATCTCCGAAAGCAACATTTGCCAGGAATCCTCGTTGACACAAAAGCTATGCCACTAAAACTTGGAGGGGCGAAAAATAAGGGTGAGTGGGCCTAAAAATAAAGTTTTTTAAAAATCGTTATGAAAAGGTAATAACCCCTCGCGGTAAAACAAGTATAGTTTTCAAACATAGCATACTACGTATAGTATGAAAATATGTACCGTAAACAGTAATATCTCGAAAATGCAATACTTCACCATATTTCGTAAATAAACCATAACATCCGGCAACCACAAAATCTCACAAAAACAAATGTCATATCAAGTACTCATAACATATGCTGACACACAAGTTTAGAGGTATTCTAACATGAACAAGACTGGGTGTAAAGAAATGATTTACGCTCTAGTACTACAATCACGTGAAGACTGGTGCTATGCACATTACATACGAGTCCTGATTGCCTATAGCAATCTAGGATAGGACTGACACCTACAATGGATCCAAAGTGAACGTATGGTGCGATGTGAATAAACACATGAAGACTAGCCCTAGCCTCGGTGAGTACAAACACCAGTGTAGCACACTGATGAACAGATAACGTAAATATGGTCATGCCACAGTAGTTCGAAAATTCTAGTCAACATAATACTATTCATAGCCGTAAGTCTAATTCTCCCTTATTGTACGCTTACATGTGCATCCCATAAGATTATTTTATAATTTCTAACAATACAACATTTCTTATAAATGCTAATTTAATTATGGCATCCCATAGAAAATGCTTATTAATATTTATAGAAATTGAATGTATACATAAAAGAAAAGACTCACTCACAAATACTTGCGAGGTCGCAGCTGTTCAGACTAGGGAAGCTAGAGTCTCCGATAGTAATTGCACCTAAACATAATATTGGGATCCGTTAGTAAAACTCAACTAAAATGATTAAATTTGGGGAAATGGAGTACAGATTTGAAATCAGGGCGTCGAAATACGCTAAGAAGGGTCTTGGGAAAATTTTGTAAAAAGTCAACGGTCAACCAACCAAGCTGCTGAGCTGGTCAACTACATTAAAACTTTAGAATTTCACTAAATAGATGCCAAAAACATACTTGGGGCATTGAAATTAGCCTGAGAGGGTTTCTGAGAAAATTTCGAAAAAGTTAACTAACGGTCAACATTTAACTTTAACAAAATATTCTATCCTCAGACGAAATATTCTGTTAAAGTTGACCGGAAGTTAACTCCTTTCAAATTCTAAAATAGATCCAAGTCGGATCTGGATTAGGGTTAACGGGTCACGGGTTTGGGGCGGTTCATGGATCCATTTTTGGTTCATAGGTCTGGTTGACCCGTTTTCAGGTTGTGGGTGGAATTTGGGAAACAATCCCAGGGCTTGGTTCAAGCTCGAAATACAACCCAATTCAGCAAATTATTCATGGATTTGAAGCTCAAAGAGAAGAGAATGATCTTATACCAAAATCAAATTGAGTTGTTGTCGGGATTGGTCCAAAAAAAGGCCTGCAACTTGCGACGTCATCGCTGGAAAAATTGGGGAGGCTTCCCGAGTTAATTTCTACACCAAATTGTCGCTAAAACACGTGTATAAGGAGCCAACGATCGTTAAAATGATACGGGGAAAGCAAAACAATTGGTCCAAACCCTTTCCTTGGTTGGATTCGTTAGACTCTCGCCGGAATCCTCTCGGATTTCGAATGAAGCTCGGCTTCCTAGCCGTGAGCAAAAAAAGTGTGAAAGAGATGGACTAACAAGAGGGAGAAAGAGAGGATTCGGGTGTTGGTTTGGTGGAGCTCGTCGGAGAAAATGGCAAGTTGGTGGACGTTAACCTCGGCATCGGTGGTTGCAAAGGGATTAAAGTGAGAGATCTAGATGATCCAGAGAGAGTGCGAGAGACTCCTTAAGGAAGGGGAGAAGGACACATGGCAAGAGAGGAGGGAGACTTTGGTGTGGGTATGGGCCTCGGTGTGGGTATGGGCCCCATGGGCCAGAAAATTATTAAAAAATTAAAAATATCAACCTTAAATTATTAAAATAATCAAGGACCAAAATTCTAAAATGCAAAATTAGTAGAGTACTCTCATGTTTGTAGTTCCGTAAAATTTTGTCCGTAACTCCAATTTTGATTCCGCTTGTGCCCACACATTTTTAGTAACGAGTACTACACGAATACAGTAAAATGGTAGCTCGTACGTGTCACAAATGACAGTCAACAAAAGTCAACAATCTTGCCTCAAGGGGCATTTTGGTCAAGTCACTCTTTTAAAATTAATAAAGCAGTAAAATTAGGGACAGGTTGTTACACCAATTTCTTGGGGCCATCTGTCATCCTCCAGCTCGCTGACATCAGCAAGCAATGGCTAGCCGACGTCAACTGACGTATTTGGGCATTGATTTTATTTAATCTTTTTTTTTTTCCAGATGGAATCCAAAAAATTTTAAAAAAAATTCTAATTTTTTTTTCTATAAAGTACCAATGGCATTTCTACACAATTTCTCACATTCTTTTAGCGATAAGTAACACTCAAGATATGTCCGGATAACCTTATTTTAATATGATAATTTAATTTAATTGATCAATAAAATTAAATAACAAAATTAAAAATAATAAATTATTGAAGGACTATTTTTTATTTCCTTCGGTTGGAAATATTATATAAATGATTGACACTATTCATTTAACAATATTTTTTTATAAGATCATAATTCTGGACGAACTTATATTTAGCCAATCCGATTAAAAATGGCCTGAATAAATAGTTTGGTAGCCGAGTTAGGTAGCCAATTCTGTGAATTATCCCAAATTCCCTGTAAAATAGAAAAAAGAAAGAAAAAAAGGATGATGGCATAAGCCTTCCCCAAAATAAAACACAAATCCCCTGCACAGAGAAATTAGGTAATAGAATAGAAGCTCTCCTATGCATGTAGACTGTAGAGAGCACAGAGATCTCTCTCTTAGCACAAGAAAATACAGAAACACCGTCACCATGGATTACTCTTACACACAGACCCACCAAGAAGACCAACAACAACACCACCACCAGCAATCATTCGATCCGTCAAGAATCCAATCCTACGACCAATCCTACCAGGCCTATTATCCCTACAATCACCCCCAACAATCCGACCACCAACAACAATACCAACAATACTACAATCCCACCACCACCACCCAGGATTACGCCACCTCCCACGACGCCACCGCCCACCACCACCAATACCATCAAGAACCCATTTCGATTCATCCTCCCGGGGTCCCAATTCCGCCCCAACAGCCACAAACGGCGGATCCTGACCCGACCCATTTGCAGAATGCGTATTACCCACATGGGGTTGCGGAGGATCAGAAGCAGCAGGTGGATTCGAGCTCGGGCTATGGTGGGTTGAATCCAGCGGCCGTGGCAGCGCTTTCGCAGCTCTCGCAGCTTACTGGGAACATCGAGGCGGCGCAGCGGGCTGCTGAACCGCCGGTAAGTGGTTGGTTTTCTTAATTCTGGTTTCAATTTAGCATTTTTTGTTATTAGGCAGTGGGAATTCTTGTTCTTATAATAATGTGATGCCTTTTCTCTTTATCTGGCCAGTCTTATGAATTTGATGTGTATAATCTACTTGTCGTTCGGGGCATGTTTTCGCATTTAGTTTGATTTGTAGAGTGTGAACATTGTTTTAAAACATGTTATATATTTTCTCGAATGTCTTCTTTCATTTGGTGAAATTCGGGTGGGGGTAAATTTATAGAACTTTTGGCTTTCGATATGAAGGTTATATCTTGACAAAATTCTTGCTATTTAGTTTTGACTGTAACTAGATAAGCAAAAGGAGTGGAACTTGAGTCGCAGAAACTGATTGAAAAAAAATGCATTCTACATCAATTGATAGCATGCCATTTCCTCAAAGACATTAATGTTTTCATCATCAAGATTATTGTATTTTTCTTTTTGTTTTTTGGCATGGTGGGCGCGCGTGTCCTCCATGCCAAAGCAATAAACAAGTCTATAAGAGGCTGTATTGACATGTATCAGGATCTCTCTTTGAGTATATTAGTGTTTTCTTTTCTGCTTTCAAATTGCATCTCAGGTTGCTTTTCAGAAAACCAGTAGCCTTGGTGGTACTTTGATCTTCAAAATTTTGCTTTTAGAAAAAGGATCTGCAATTGGATATCTCCATAATTACAACTGATCTTAGCCTATCGGATCTTCACACAACGGTTTCATCCTTATTGGGGAATATTAAGTTCAATCTTGGATACATTTACCTGAAATTGGTATAACCTTAGATGATCATCGTTTGATGTGGGATTCCCTTTGCTAATCTATCGTACTGTTTACAGTATGTTCGCACATGTTACATTACGATGGATGTAACTTGTACCCGGTGTGCACATGAGGATAATTTTTTTGAAGATGACTGTTGTTATTATTTGGCCTGAAGACTTGTTTTCATTCCTTTTCCAATTTGGGAAAAGTATGTAGCGGTCCTTACCTGTTCTGATTCTAATTCAGTATATCCAACTTTGTTTTTAATTTAGTAACTGATGCAAAAATCTAAATTCTTTAATGAATCGAGACATCTGGTTTGTAGATTCTCTATTCAGGTTCCATTGGTTAACGTGGTTTGCGTTTTTGAATTGAATCCTTATTCATGTTCTGCCTACTTCAACCTAGGCATACCCCTTATCAGAAATTACTTAAAAACATTTTCTGTTGGATTGATTTTAGCGTTTCTTTCGTATATGTGTTTTTGAATGTATCAGTATAAGAATTCTTATTGTCATTGTCGATTGTTATCTATATCTGTGCTTGTTTTGTGCATTTTATTTCAAAGTTGTTGTTTCTTTTGCTTTTTCTGTTCATGGAAGCATTAGTAATAAACATTACATGGATTGCTTTATCCTTAAATGCTATTCTGCAGATTGGGCAAACTATATATAGAGGTGGAGGTAGGAGGGGCAATAGGCCCTTCCGGGGAGGTGGTCGGGGCCATTTTGGTTACCATGGTTCTAGACCAGATGGCTCAGCACCCCCATTCCGTGGTAGGGGACGTGGCCAGGGTGGTGGTAGGCACTTTCAACAGTATGGTGCTGCATCAACCAATCCAAATTCAATACCTGTACCTGCTGAAGGTGTAGCTGCTTTAACGCAGCCGCCTTCAGCATTGGTTCCTGGGCAGGCACCATTACCTGTACCAACACAAGTGTCTTCTGCTTCATTCTGGCGACCTCCTCGTATGGTTTGGTGTGAACTTTGTAGGGTTGACTGCAACACTCCTGAAATCCTTGAGCAGCATAAAAATGGAAAGCGACACAAAAAAAATATGCTGGTACATGAGGAGTTGCAGAAACGCAACAAAGTCAATACTGGACAACAGAATGCTCAAATGCCTAACACTGAATTAAAAACAGAAGTCCCTGTGAGAGTTGAGGGATTTGAGGAAAAACAACCCTTACAAGAAAATATAACATCTGGAGTAGTTACTGATGATAGTAGAAATGAAACAGATCAGAAGGATACCGGCGCAAATGCTGAAGCTTCTGCAGAACCTGGGAACAACTCCAGCGATCAGTTTGCAGGCCGAGGACGAGGTTCTAAGCGTAGGATGCGAGGGGGTCGAGGGGGTAAGTATGTGAGGACTAATGACGGATCCAGAAGACCAGTTGAGCCTCCCAAACCAAAACAAGTTCCGTTTATATGTGAATTGTGCAATGTCAAGTGTGAGTCACAGGTGGTTTATGATAGTCATGTGAATGGTAAAAAGCATCTAGCTACCCTCAAGCGGTTTCATGGCCACCGTGCTTTGTATGGAGATGCGGGGCTTCAGGCAGTTAACCCACCCAATGTAAATGCTGCATCAACTTCAGCTGCCCCCCCGGTCCATCAAGTTGTCAATGATCCTCAGGCCCTCCTGGCACAACTGTTGATGAATTATGTGCTCTCTCAAACCCAAGCACAAGGGATAGCACCACCTCCAGGAGCAGCATCAGCTGCGGCACCAGCTCAAGGAACAAGCACGGGGACCCAGAATCAACTGGATTCACTGATTCATGGAGCACAAGCGATGTGTCAAGATGGAAGCCAAAACGTGGTTATAGAGCAAATCAAGAGTCTGCTGCAATCTGTCCAGGCATACTCTGCAACCCCAGCGGCCGGGAATGCAGTCGTGAACACTGGGAATGAAACTTCTGAGTTTGAAGCAAAGGAGGCAAGTGGTCTTATAAACACTACAGCTGCGGCGCCAACAAATCCAGGCACAAGCGAGCAAGTTTCTGGAACACCATCGAGCAAGGAATGCGAAGTTGCTGCCTCCTCAGATTCATTTGTTCAGCCACAACCCGAAGGCCAAATGTAGGAGCCAAAGTTCGACAACGAAAAGTAAGAGCCAGGCCAACGGAATAGATACAGTTTGATATGTTTATGACCGAATAAGATGCACTAATTTAAGCCCTAGTAAAGTTTTACGTGACATTCAACTCAGTGGTTATTTACTTTTTGATGTCGGATGTTGAGGATTAGCCATGTCTTCTGGAAATATATATATATATATATTAGCAAACAATATTATTTATACTAAGGAGGAGGGGGTGGCTAAGAAATTAGGTGTTTCCAATATTATTGGTTAATTTAGTTAAACTACCGTTGCATGTTTTCAAATCTAACCGTTGAATTTAAATCAATTATTGCAACTGAGAAGTTGGGTCTTAAGAAATGGGCTAGCCTGATTTCCCTTTGGCTAAATAATAGCCAAGTCAACAGTTGGAGATGAGTTTTTGTGCAAATCAGGTTATTTTTTTATTTTCAGACGTTTAGCACTCTCCATCAAAGATAGCCTAAAGGAGTGGGGAAGTGGCCTAAAGGTTGGTTTGGTATGGTTGTGCTTTGAAAAAAAACCGCTTCTGCTCATTTTTGCTGCTTCAAGTTTTCAGCTTTTTGTCGTTCAAAATTGTGAAAATAAGTTGTTTTTAAGTGTTTACTAGACACCTTTTTGAGCTCATCTTTTTTTTATACCCACTTTTTATAAAAGCACATGAGTACCAAAACAATACTAAGCCTCACATTGAGCTAGCCAGAATAATGTGGTTCAACTTTGCCTTTGGCGAGAATTGAATCTAAGACATTTTAACTTAGAAGTGAAGAAAAATAATAATGGAACCTATTTTCTACAATTTTAAAACTAAAAAAATAATTTCCAGTGCTACAAACCATTGTAAAAAGATATTAAAAAATGAATTCCAAAAATCCTCCATCTTACCCTCTCGTAAACCCACCCCTTGATTTTGTTGTCCGAAAGAAACCCACCCGCCGTAAAGCGCCAAGCACAGCGCCGCCACCCCACTCCCCTCCTCCCCTCCTCTCTCTCCACCGCCATGCCCACTGGAGTCCATAACAGAAATCAAACTCGTTGAATCATAATCCTCACTTAATTCATAATCTCCTTCCCTCCGCCTCAAAAATGTTTTGTCATCGACTAGCAGCTCCTCCGTCACAAACCGAACTCCTTCCGCTCCACAGACGCACCGTTCCTAAAGTCCAAAATTTCCCTGCGTCCCTTCAACTCTCTCTCACCCAAAACCGTAAAAAGGGTCCTCGTATAAGGGCGGTCTCCATAGATGAAATTCCACCAAATGCCCTCCGCCGGAAGCGAGACCCGCAATGGAGAGGCGGGTTTAGCGTAGGGGTAGATTTGGGACTGTCACGCACCGGCCTTGCCGTCAGCAAAGGCTTCACCGTCCGTCCTCTCACCGTAATTATCCCCCAACAACAAAATTTATTTTATTTCTTTAATTTAATTTAATTTCGTTCTTAATTGTGTAGGTATTGAATTTGAGAGGGCAGAAGCTTGAGGATCAGCTGCTTGAGATTGCAAAGAAGCAGGTATAAAATTGATTTTATATTTTAAACTATTTTTCAATATTATTTGTTCCTTGAGAAAGTTGGAGTATTTGTCCTTCTAGTTTCGTCTAATTGTAAATTTAGTATTGTAAAAGATAAATTGTCATAAAATAGAGTAATGGTTCTTTTTGGTTAATACCGTTAGAACTTACGTCCGAAATGAAGTGTTCGGGCAGATAAAGGTTCAAAGTTCTAACGGGGTTATCCAAAAATCCACAATTTGACGACTATAGGACCAATTCTCCAATTTTTCGTTTGTTTTTATAAATGGATTAGTAATTAATTAATAAGAAAAGGAAAAAAGTGTAGGAGGCAGATGAGTTCATAGTTGGGCTTCCGAAATCGAGTGATGGGAAAGAGACGCCTCAGTCTAACAAAGTTCGTAGCGTTGTTGGAGGCTTGCTGTTAGTGCCGCTGAGAGGTGTTAATCTCAATACTAATGTTACTGATTTGTTTACTTGTTAATCAATTTTTGCTTTCAAAATAAAAATTGCAATGTCTTCTCATAAATGGCATGAAGGATTTATAAAATCAAAGATTTGTTGGGTCGATGCTGGTTTTTGCTATTTGTGATTTGTTGTGTTTGGTCTTACAAATTCGTTGTGTCGTTAATTTTGGTTTGTTCTAAACAACGAGCATCGTGATTATATCTTGTAGTGGAGAAGTGTTAACTGAAACTTCGAATTTCAGGGGTTGGAGAGTGTACCTGCAAGATGAAAATGGGACGTCCATGGAAGCCATGGATCGGATGATTATCATGTAATCCTTTCTACTCTTACCAATCACCTTTTTCCAATGATTGAATACTTCTTTGCATTGTTTAAAGATGGCTATTGACTGTCATAATGTGTGCTTTCTTTCTCGAGCATCGTATAATTTTTGGTTTTGAACTCTAAATGGCACGTTATAGTGGGAATTGGACTTCTATAGTTCTTTATGAGACTTGAGTTATAGATTAATCTTTAGGTCCGAAAAGCTGCAGTATGCATACTGAAGAAGTAATGTCAGTAGTCGTATGCTTCATCTTATCACTAGGAAACTCTAGGGTGTTTTGTCATTTCTCACATGATATGAAGTCTGTTTTCAGGGGACTCGACAAGTCTGATCGACAAAGCCAAATCGATGCCTACGCTGCTGTGGTACGCAATACATTCTTAGTTAAGTGCTATAAGCTTTCTGAATTTGCTCATCTTTGGCGCATGTATTCAAGAAGGGAGCACTGTAGAATATAATTAGAGGTATGTTTTTTTCATTTTCTGGATGCAGATGGTGCTGGAGAGATATTTTTCCATGTCAGGTGAGGGCACGGAGCTCGTACTGCCCAGGAATCTGGATCTTCAAGACAAACTTCGAAGAGGCCCGCCTAAAGATACCGATTTTTTTGATGAAGATTACGAGGATTGATGATTCAATGTCAACCGTGAAACTCAGTACGTATGCCCAAAAGTATGTATGTGAATGTTCAAAGTTGTAATTGCAGTATTACAATGGGATGGGATAACAAAACGGAACGGGGAAAACAGAAAAATGTGACTCGTACATGCTCCGGTTGCAAGAAATCAGTACAAATGCTCTAAGCATATAGCCAAATTTTCTTCTTCTAGCTTGGATATGCATTACTACCAGTTACTTTTCTTTGTATTGCATCATAATCACCATTCTAAAAATTCCCACCTAGCACCGTCTAAGCTCTGGGTAGGCTAGGCGGCTAGTCACCATACCGGTTAGTCCTGTGGCGTTTGAAAATTAAAGAAAGTGCGCCTAGACCCACTTAGGTGTCCGCCTAGCCCTCTTAGATGCCCGTCTAAGCACCTGTCTAGGTTGCAACTCTCATTTAGATAGAATATCAATAACTTCTATTGCACATTTTATTTTGTCAATAAAATGTAACATAATTGTTAAATACTTGGATGAACTTATTATATGCTTGTTACCATGTTTGTAATATGTGTTAATACTTTATAATCTATAGGTCATTATATTTTGCAATTGATATATCACAATACAATTATGTGTCCTTTTTAAGTATAGTAAGGCACTTATTCATACAATATATAAAATTTACTTAGAGCATGTCCACCGGGGACTTTTAGGTCAACACCCAACCAATCCTCTCTAGCCCAGTGGATAGGACGACACCTAGCCTAAGCTGGCCTCCAGGCCAGCTCAAAATGGACTGAGCTATAGGACGGCCCACTTGACGTCATGTTGATGCCAACATGACATTGCAGGGTAGTTTAAATTTTTTTTTTGTACCAAGCGCGTGCGAAACACAAGCGCTTGGCCACGCATCTCGACAAGAAAACGTGGGGGTGGCCTGCCAACGCAAGCGCTCTTAGGGATCCGATGGGGAGGCCATATGTTTGTTTCTGGGTCGTTGGATTTCCAACAGCTAGTTTTCTGGATCATTGGATTTCCAACGGTCAAAAATTTTTGAATTTGACATCCAACGGCTAGTGATGTGACTTGATCTGGACTGTTTGATCCAGAGATTAACTGTCCACGTTTTTCCCCCCAAAAAGTAAAAAAAAGGCACAATAGTCAAAATTATGATCGTTGGCCATGTGTCAACATAGAGGCTATTGGATTTGAGTCTTTTTCAAATTCAACAATCCAGATTAATTAACTAAATTAAAATTAATTAAAAACTATTAAAAATTGTTAAAAAATACAGAAAAAATTTAAATATTTTATTTTAATTTTTCTATAAATACCTAACCTCTATCTTCCACCTTACACCACATTTCAATATTTTCAACGCTTTCTACCAAAGTTTTCATATAATTTTTTAGAGGAAAAAAATGACTACGTGAAAGCTCATCGAAGATGTTACGTTGTGTGAATGCTGGGTTCACACTACTCATGACCCGATTACGGGTAATGAGATGGATAAACGAGAAATGTGGAGTAAACTTACTAAAGCGTTTTGCGATGTACATGGGAAAGACGCCAAAAGTAGTCAAGGTCTTCAAGGTCGTTGGAAAAAACTCAACGCATCATTTACTTGTTAAAAGAAGGCTATCTCTCCTGCTTTCGTTAATTTATGTAGTGGGACAAGTTTAGCGGATCAAGTGACAATACTATTATTTATTTATATGTATTCCACCCACATCAATATTTTAATTTATTTATTTGTGTTACACCCACATTTTATAATACTGTCTTATCCCACATTTATAGACACTACAAGCACAAGCATTCTACAATGCGAAGAACCACAACAAATCATTCAACAAATGGGAATGTTGGCAAATTATCAAAGATTGACCCATATATAGAATTGTGGCACCTAGTCCAAAAGTTGTCATGCACGGCATGGGTCTACCCAGTTCGCCAGAAACAGACACGGCCGAACATGAAGAAGACACGACCGCATAGGAAGAAGACACATTTGAAGAAGTGCTGGAAGAGACGCCTGAAGAAGTGTCGGAGACCTAGGCGACTTGTCAATCCCTAAGGCCTAAAGGTAAGAAGGCGGCAAAGAAAAAAAGGAGTTCTTCCAAAAAAAGACTAAGAGACGTGATGCAGCGGCTGAGAGACAAAAAGAAATAGTTAATCGAGAAAATGAGATTATTAGAGAAGCACTTAATTGAGAAAACGAGATGCTTAGAGAATAAAGGATGGCTCAAGCAGATCGTGACACTATGAACAAGCCTCTAGTAGGACTATCTCCAAATTCAAAATATTTTTGGACATCGAAAAAAAGAGATGTGGTGCAAGAGACGCGGAAACAAGTTGAGGGAATTCTAGCTACACAAATCCTAGCAACGAAGATCCTAGCACCACATATCCTAGCTCCACAGACTTTGTATAATTTCGTATTTATTTTTAGCACTTTATTTAATTTCGTCTTAAATTTTAGTACTTTATGCAACTTCATATTTATTTAATCCTATCCGAAATTAAAACTATTTTTTATTTATTATTTTATAAACAATGTAATTATATTTTCAATGGGCAGTGCATTTTGTAGGGGTGGAGAGCGTTTGTGCCAACGCATTTTTTAGGGGTGGAGTAAGGCTGATCCGAATACTGTTACCTCAGAAGTCCAGTTATGGACTCACTAGCTCCGGACGAAGCTATATCAAACGAAGCAGGGTGCCACCATCACTCTACTCCAAGGCAATAGGTAGAGTCCTAGAAGCTCCGATGGATAACCATGCTTGTTCCGTAAGACACGCGATCTGATCTAGATATGGACACAATCAGATCCTATAAGCCTTAAAGTCCCAACAATCTAGGGATAGGCGTGTGTTGTCACAACTCCTAAGAGGATGCAATATTTACTTACTGGATATCCTCTAGGATTCTCCCGACTTAGAACAATGATTTTATCCAAAAAAGGTCTATATCTCCCACGGCATAAATATACCATTCTAAGTTTCATCTATGTTAACGTAATCTATGCACTTGAATTTTCTTGCCCACTGCTTGAATCTCAAACCATTCACTAACTTGACCGTCGTAGAGCTTTCAACCGGCACACCCTCCGGCATAAGGTTTGCTTATGATCGTTTCCTTGTTTTGTTGGTTGCTCATGAATACAAGGATTTATGCTCAACCGTTGCTCACGAAGGTGCACAGATTTGGTACCAACAATTGGTGCTTTCATTGAGAAAGTACCCATATTCCTCTTGACCAGACCATTTCGCTTTCTGACATGTTAGAAAGCTCAGTCAACAACAAAAGCCCAACCATCTCCCCAGAAGACGCCTACTAGGGGTACAACGGCGTCACTTCCATTGATGAGATGTCGGAAGATATCATGAATATTTCTCTATCCTTAGAGGTGGTCACAATCCATTGGCTAAAGGGTCGACTCGCTGATATAAGGGCCCACATCAAAAATCTCCAAGAAGTAGTTTCTAGCTTTGAGAAATTGGCTACTTAAAGGAAGGAGGTGATCGATTTGACGTTTAGAGAGTCATCTTGACTGTCCACTAGCCTCACAACGATGCCCTCGTCACTAAGGTCCAGATCTCGAATGCCCTAGTCAGTCGCGTATTAGTTGATAATGTTTCAGGATTTAGCGTCCTCTTCAAAGATGCCGCTGAAAAGATGGGGATTCTCGATAGCATCAATAGAGGGAAGATAACCCCTCACATCTTTAATAAGGCACCAGTGCGGTTCCTATGAACCATGAAGTTGGTCGGCCAGGCCGAACCCTACAACCACCTAGTAACCTTCCACGTGATGGATTATTCAACCCCTTATAATGCCATCCTCGGCAGAAATTGGTTACACAAGTTGAAGATTGTCCCTTCCAGTTACCACTAATTACTCCACTACCTAGCACCCGATGGAATAAAAGAAATAACAAGAGACCAGTTGGCTACACACTGTTGCGCCATTAAAAGTATAAACATGATAAGGAAAAGAGAACGAAGTTCTAGCACACGCGTGGACGAGTCAACATAACAATCATAGTCAGGGGGTCAACAAACAAGCTACAAAGAATTTGACCTGGATCTTGACCCCTAGAACGATATCACCCTAGAGTCTAAAGCTAACAAAGATGTCGTCTACATTAGCCTTGACCCCAACAAACCAGAACGAAAAGCCTAGATAGACTCGAAGTTGACCGACCGAGAAAAAAAAAAACTATTTACCAACTTCAATCATGTTCGTATGGTCAGCATAAGGCATGCCTGGGATCGACCCTTCAGTAATCTATCATCATCTCCACCTAGACCCAACTGCCAGACCAATTATCCAGCACAAAAGGAACCATGGAACATAACGTAGTAAGATCATAAAGGCAAAAATAGACAAACTCAAGGATGCCCAATTGATCGTTGAAGTACACCATCTAGATTAGCCGGCGAATGTTGTGTTAGTATAAAGAAGAATTGGAAATGGAGAATGTATGGACTTTACATACTTAAACAAAACCTGTCCATCCACACCTTCTTCCACAAATCAACCTACCAGTACACTTAATGGTAGGACATAAACTCCTAAGGCTTCATAGACGTCTACTCTGATACACTCAAGTATGGAAGCAACATCCTTCATCATCGATCGATAAACATACTACTACAAGGTTATGCCTTTCGGACTAAAAAACGCAAGGGCAACATACCCACGACTCGTCAACCGAATCTTCAAAGGAAAATTAGGGACACAATGGAAGTTTATGTAGATCATATGGTTTTCAAGAGTAAAGAAAAGAAAGGCCATATAACATACCTCCAAGAATCGTTTAACCTACTCCAAAAATATAGCATGAAGCTTAATTTGGAGAAATGCACCTTTAGAGTAGCGTTGGGAAAATTCCTCGGGTACATGGTAACTAAGCGAAGAATCAAAGCCAACCAAGATCAGATCAAGGCCATCATAGAAATAAGGTCCCCCTGAACCATGAAGGAAATACAAAGTCTGGCTGGATGAGCAGCAGCCCTTAGCAGATTCCTATCAAGATCCATCAACAAGTGCAAACCGTTCATGACGACAATAAAGAAAAGCAAAGGTTTCCTATGGACAAACAAATACAAGGAAGCTTTCATGAATCTCAAGGAGTACCTCTCTAAGCCTCCACTGCTATCCAAACTCATCAATATAGAGGATCTATACCTCTATCTAACCGTATTAGACAACGCAATA